CGGCGGGCCCGCGTTGCCCCTGGGCGCTGCCGGTACTGGCTGCTCAGCCACGAGAGGAGCTAGCTGAGCCCCGGTCTGCCCGGCACAACAGTTCGCTTCCTACGTAACTGCCCTTCCTGTTGCAGATCTTGTCACCGAGAAGCAAAACAGCCCTCCCTGTGCCGATTCAGGCTGTCACAGTGGAGTAGATGAACCGAGAGGCATGAGCCTACAGCTTAATGCTGCAGAATACATGCATTCCCCCCAGCCACGAGAGGAGCTAGCTGAGCCCCGGTCTGCCCGGCACAACAGTTCGCTTCCTACGTAACTGCCCTTCCTGTTGCAGATCTTGTCACCGAGAAGCAAAACAGCCCTCCCTGTGCCGATTCAGGCTGTCACAGTGGAGTAGATGAACCGAGAGGCATGAGCCTACAGCTTAATGCTGCAGAATACATGCATTCCCCCTCCCCCCCAGGGCCGGACTGAGGCATGGGCAAACCGGGCAGCTGCCCAGGGCACCAACCGATGGGGGGCGCCTGATGGCAGCTGTAAGGGGTACGCGGCGTCCCTTACAGCTGCCATCAGGAGCAGTGCGCCTGGCTCCTTCAGTGCCGGCCCCGAGGCGCCGGCCCGCAGCGCCCTTCCCCCCATGGCTGCGGGGCCCTGCACCGCCCGGCCCACCCAGCAGCAGCGCTGGCCTGGCCAGCAGCAGTGCTACCAGGCCGGGCTGGGCAGCGCATACGCCATGCGCCCTGAGGGGGAGGCCCTGTGCCCTGGGGGCGGTCCCACACACCCTGAGGGGGCGGTCCTGTGCCCTGGGGGCGGTCCCACACACCCTGAGGGGGCGGTCCTGTGCCCTGGGGGCGGTCCCACACACCCTGAGGGGGCGGTCCTGTGCCCTGGGGGCGGTCCCACACACCCTGAGGGGGCGGTCCTGTGCCCTGGGGGCGGTCCCACACACCCTGAGGGGGCGGTCCTGTGCCCTGGGGGCGGTCCCACACACCCTGAGGGGGCGGTCCTGTGCCCTGGGGGCGGTCCCACACACCCTGAGGGGGCGGTCCTGTGCCCTGGGGGCGGTCCCACACACCCTGAGGGGGCGGTCCTGTGCCCTGGGGGCGGTCCCACACACCCTGAGGGGGCGGTCCTGTGCCCTGGGGGCGGTCCCACACACCCTGAGGGGGCGGTCCTGTGCCCTGGGGGCGGTCCCACACACCCTGAGGGGGCGGTCCTGTGCCCTGGGGGCGGTCCCACACACCCTGAGGGGGCGGTCCTGTGCCCTGGGGGCGGTCCCACACACCCTGAGGGGGCGGTCCTGTGCCCTGGGGGCGGGCCCGCGCATGGTCTAAGGGTCCAAACTAGGGATGTAATATTGTAGTCAATTAACCAATTAAAAGCTTATAGGTTAATGCTATAAAATACACACATTCCCCCTGCTCCTGTAATTCCCCAGTACATTTTTTAGCAGCCTGGCCAGCAGCCCAGCTCAGTTCTGGTTTGCGCCAGGTCCGGGACCTACCCCCGCTGCAGCTCTGCATTTCAAGTGTATTAAGAGTCGGGTGGGCAGGCAGCCTGGCTCACTTCCAGCTCGTACAGGGTCCGGGAGCTCAGACCCTCCCTGGACTGTGTGAGAGGCAGCAGCACAGGGTGACAGGCAGCTGGTCTGCAAGGGAAGCTGGTTTCTAAACTGCCTCCCCTTGCGGACCAGCTCCCGTCTGGCACCCCACGCTGGCACCCCAGGGACTTTAGAACAATCGACTAACTGAGAAGAAGTCCGGAGGTTACTCGAGTATTGGATTAACCAAGATTTAACGTCCCTAGTGCCGACTCGCGCGCTTGAACGGCAGCGTGCCCCACAGGAGGGAGGCAGAGCGATCCTGACCCCCGCGCTGTGCGGCGTTAGCTCGGACAGTCGCTGCTGCCTCTTGCCGTGTGCTGGGGGACCCCTGCACACATGTGCCTAGTCCCTGGCTGGGGGCTGCAGGCAGGGAGTTCTGCACTTGTGACTGCTTGCCGGCTGAGGAACAGGGCGGGGGGCTGGTGAGGGGCAAGGCTGGGGTCCCTGGCTGGGAAGCTGTTGCCCTGAGTCGGGGTGGCAGGCTCCATTAGGACTCTAGCCGTGAATGTCATTAGCCCTTGCTAGCAGGGAGGGCTTTGTACGCGGCTCCTCTTTCTTCCATAGAAGGAGTTTCACTGAGAGCGAGAGCCTGGGCAGTCCCCTTCTAGTCAGCCCCTTTCCAGAGCCCCGAGGCCAGGCAGGAGGGGCTCTGTCCTTGCAAACCTGCCCGGGTCCAATCCAGGCCGGCTCTGTGTTTGGCTTGGACTCGCAGATCCTGGAGCAGCAGCTGCAGCAGATGAAAGCCATTTACCAGCTGAACCAGGAGAAACTGGAATACAACTTCCAGGTGCTCAAGAAACGGGACGAGGAAAACACCATCATCAAATCCCAGCAGAAACGGAAGCTCAACCGGTAAAAGTTGGGCCCGTTTGTGTGGGGCAGGACCAGGGCCCCCAGCCGTTCTCAGCCTGCTCTGGGCCGCAGTCCATGTTCTCACTGCCGCACACAACCCCCCCTTCCCCCCAAAGACTGCATGCAATCGGGCTTTGCGCAGGGGCTCCGTGCTGCTGGGCCACGGGAGGGGAGGGGCCCAGTGGGGCAGCTGGAAGCACGTTCCTTGGCCGCACTGGGACGCGCCAGCCCTCGTACGTCCGGCCCTGCCTGCTGGTCAGTAGCACCCTGCTCTGCTCCCCAGGCTGCACGACGTGCTTGGCCAAGCAGATAAAGCAGTTCCAGGAGGACAACCAGACCCTGACGGCCGACTACAAGCGCATAGTGGAGCAGTACAAGGATCTGCAGAGGACAATGAGGTACGGGAGGTCCCAGCTGCGGGCCCCACGGTGGCGCCCACAGGGCAGTCTCGGACGCCTGCGCCCGCACTGGGACCCTGCCGGCCCGCAGTGGGAAAGCTGCCCGGCTCACAGGCAAGGGCCTGTCCCCTCTCGGCAGACACTTTGCCGTCATCGATGCCCAGAAGTTCCTGGAGATCTGGCTGATGAACGAGCAGGAAGCCAAAGGGCTGATGTGGAAGGCGCTGGATGCCGACCGCGTCATTCACACCCAGCAGCTGGGGCTCCCCTGGGTGGAGCCGGACTACTGGTTCCTGGACAATGTGGGCCCCGTCGTGTACCGCAAGACCATGAAATCTGCCAGCAAGCTGGCCCAGGAGGTGATGGCACTAACAGGTGGGGCACGATCCCTTCCCTCAGGGTCTCCACCCTTCCAGGTTGTTGCTGTCACCTCCCTCCACCTCCTCCGCCTGGGGCCAAGAGGGGGGCAGCAGCTTTCCTTGCTAGGTGGGGGTAAAACCCTGAGGTGTGGTGGGAAGCAGAGGGACCTGTCCTCGTTATCCCCTGCGGCCCAGTCCAGTTCGGAGAGCCCCGGCCAGGCCTGGCTGCTCCATTCCTCTTGCCCCTACCCCCACGGGCTCCCCATTGACTTGGCTTTGAGACCACAGAGGCTGGCAGAGTATTGCAGAGGACAGGCAGGGCCAACAGGGTGTGGAGGGTGGGCAGAGCTAATGATCCTGGGCAGGCGGGGAGGAGAGCGTGAGTCAGTGGGGACAAGTGTGGGGTTGGTCACTGGGCTAATGGTATTGGAGGACAGGGGGCACTAGCAGGATAGGGGCAAGGGTAGGCGGTGTTAACATGCTACTGGAGGGGTGGGC